AAGCAGATAGTGAGAATGTCTGGACTTCTACTCCCAACCGTGATGAGAAATTGCACTGGTATGTCTGATTACTGCCTTGGCACAAATGTCTCTTTCCAGTATTACTACAATGCCCAGACACAACAGTATCTGTACTGGGAAGGTGAGCGGCGCACGTATGTGCCAGCTTCAGATCCGGCATCAGACAGTCACAAGGATGGTAGCAGTTCAGGAGGCAGCACTGGCAAAGAGGGCAAAGAGAAAAAGGAGAAACATAAAACAAAAACAGCCCAGCAGGTGAGAACCATCTTCTTCCTGCTTATTTGTACCGCTTCTGTACCTGAGCTTGCTTTTTCTAGTCTTTTGCCTGCTTTCCAGCTGACATAAGCCCTTTCAAAGCTCTAGATCTGTGTTGTGCAGTTGTAACACCTTGGTCTTCTCAGGAGATCTAGCCCTCTTTCTGGATTGAGTAACTGGGAAATGGTTGCATAAGGAAGGACTTATCCAACTTTTATGGTGGCGGTACCCTCCAACAACAACAACAAATCAGCCGTGTGGAATGAGGTGGCTTCTTGGAGTATGACTGGAAGCAGTTGCTGGAGAAGCATTCCTGTAGGGGCAGGGCGAGAATTGAATAGTTAGTTTTGGACCCTCTGGGGCCGTTCGATGCAGATGTAGTCCTGAATGTCAGTGGTCTTGTATGGTTCTAATCAGGAGCCATATTAGGGTAGCATGCCTTTCAGTACAAACTGAGAAGTCACTTGTTCATTTTATTTATTTCCTGCATCCTCTCCCCTTCTTGTGGACTGTCCTTCCCAGATTGCAAAGGATATGGAGCGCTGGGCCCGTAGCCTCAACAAACAGAAGGAGAACTTCAAGAACAGCTTCCAGCCAGTCTCTTCCATACGAGAGGATGAAAGGCGGGAATCAGCCACAGCTGATGCAGGCTATGCCATCCTTGAGAAAAAGGTATCTTGCCATCTTTTACAAGAATGAGGCTAGAAATATATCACATAATGTTGATATAGTTGATGGTAATAGTTGGTGCCAAAAATAGCTGACAGCCCTGACACTTGCTGAAGGGTGTTAAGATAGGTTTTTCAGCCTTGCTTGCTATTTTCTCTGCTTTGCAGAATGCATTTAGTGGAGTTGTGGACTAGATGTAGCTATGCTAGAGTCCTTAGTCTGCCTTCCTTGCTAGTGTACTCAGATAGGAGTCTCTGAAGCATAATTATGCCATGCTCCAGTCTTTTTCTCTCAATGTGGGAAGCTCTTTTCAGAAGTCTTTCTTTATTCAGAATTAGCCATTGTCACAAAGCCCTAATGTTCAAATGGTGTGATGGACCTCGTTAAAGAAAGACAATTATTGGAGGTGAAGGACAATTGAGCTCATGAGCTTCTGTGCTAATTTGTCTTTATCATGATTGGGCAGGGCTGCAGTATGTGAACCACCATTATGTTGTCTTTGTCGGTTGCCAAGTGAGGGACCATCTCTGGTGGGTGAATAGAAAAAAAGTGTACTTAATCTTGGCGAAATGATCTGCGAATCTCTCGCAATACTGTCTGTGTGTGTTCTCAGGGTGCATTGGCTGAGAGGCAGCACAGTGGCATGGACCTGTCTAAGTTTGCTGGTGATGACAGGCTGGTAAGTCCCTGCCTTCTAATTTTCTCTGCAACTTAGGTGCTATGGGTCTTCAGTCTGAATAGAGAAGAGGGTGCAGATGCATGGATTCTAGGAGCTTTTGCTTTTCTCTCCTTTTAAGGGTGAGATAATAGGTATGGAGAAGTAGGTCAAAAGAAAGTTTCTCCCTTAGCTTTTGATGGGAATTTAACATGGATAATGGGAAGTCTTGAACACATTTGTTAGCTCTATAGTACCCCCGATTTCTCACTTAGTACATTGTGATAAAGGTTTGCATGAGTTGATGAGGGTGGGAAGGAAGCAGAGATCATGCTGAAGCATTAGATTAATGCAAATAGTTTGGTGGTTGCTTCTGGATCTGATTTCAACTTTGATATTCTTTGTGACTCTCCTGACTTGCAGAGTCCACCCCGAGGCTTAGTGGCTGCTTACAGTGGTGAGAGTGACAGTGAGGAGGAGCAAGAGAAGGCTGCTGATCGGGAAGAGAAATTGACAGATTGGCACAAGCTGGCTTGCCTTCTTTGTCGTAGACAGTTTCCCAGCAAGGAAGCACTTATTCGTCACCAGCAGCTCTCAGGATTGCACAAGGTATGTAGCCAGTGTCTTTGTGCTCTTTCAGTATGCTTCCAGTCTGTTCAGAAGACACGGGTCATGGGGAGAACTATTTTGTTGGTAGTATTAGCTCTTCCTTGCAACTGGATTTTCGCTTGACATTCTGGCCTTTGTTTTATAGTATTCTGCAAGATTCCTTCTAATTCTACATATTCTTTAGTGTTTGCGTGAAAGTGGCAAAGTCTTCCAGCCAACTGAAGTACAGTGCTATCAATATGTTGGTGAAACTCAGCTGCATTTTCCATGTCCTGGGATGTCTATGAAGAGAATTGCTGTCTGATGATTTCCTTCAGAGCTCCAAATGTGTTTCATGAAAACTGAAGGACCTTCTACATGAAAATTACCTGCTACATGAAAATTACCTATCTGCTCAGATTTGTTTCCTGTTGGGTGGTAGTCCTTCTGCATGTTCCACTACCACCACCCAATCATCCAGCAAATGCATAGGAGGACATTATTGATGCCCAAAATGTTGAACCACTTGTTCTGGGAGGCGGCGGTGGGGGCGCACGCGAGGTGGCTCACTCGGAGATCTCCCAGCAAGTCCAAACCCATCTCTGAGCAAGCAAGCCACCACCTCCCTGCCCACGCTGTGAGGCAGTGGTGAGCATGAGCGTACGGGAGGCAGGTGGTGGCAGCTTGCTCACTCGGAGACCATCTCTGAGCGAGCAATCCAACGCCTCCCTGCCCACACAGCAAGCACGTGCACGGCGACCAACAGTGCAGGCCAGTTGGATGGCCATGGCGGGCTGGATCCGTCCCACAGGCCGTAGTTTGAGGACCCATGGCCCAGGCAGTTTTGTATTTTATTCCCAAAATGTTTTCTTTTTCATATACTGCTTTGATTTTTAATATAATTCAACAGATGTTTTGCTTTTTGATTATATGCAGTGGTTTCAGTGTTTTAAAGATACAAAAATACCTTATAAATACTCAGTAAAATGTTAATATGGAAAGTAATGTACATGTTGAGGATTTATGTGGGATCTTTGGTGGACACCAGCTTAGATCTTGTCTTAGTCTTCATGTTCTCTCCCACATTTGCAGCAAAATTTGGAGATTCATCGGCGGGCACACTTGTCAGAGCAAGAGCTTGAGGCACTTGAGAAAAATGATATTGAGGTATGAGGCTGGGGAGTGGCCTCTGTGGTGGACGTATGTAATGGTCCAACACCACACCCTTAACACTCCTTATTCATGATTACCAGCATATGAAATACCGAGATCGTGCAGCTGAACGCAGGGAGAAGTATGGTGTTCCCGAGCCCCCCGAACCCAAGAAGAGGAAGTATTCAGCTGTAACACCTGCCACAGTGTAAGTCCCATGTCTCTCTTGTCGGGACTCACTAGATGAATTAGGAGAGAATTGGGCCCCTTTGCTTAAAAGGGAGAGTCATCCTCATTGTTTGTTGCCAGTTGGCAAGAGGAAAGGACAGAGCCATCCTAATCCTTCGTTTCATTACTGTTTGTTCCCCCATCCCAATATTGCTGCAGGGATTTTGAACAACCAACACGAGATGGACTTGGCAGTGACAACATTGGCAGCCGCATGCTACAGGCCATGGGCTGGAAAGAGGGCAGTGGGCTGGGACGCAAGAAACAGGGTATCGTCACCCCCATTGAGGTACCAGGATCTCTTTCAGACTAGTGTGAACATAGAGCAATGTCTGTCTTTATATTTTTTTCAAGTTGCTTTCTCCTATAGCAGAACTGCATATAGCAGACCTGAACAAGTACTTGAACTGCATTGCTTGGGATGAGGGCTATTTGGTTATCACTCTGAAGCTTGCTTGCAGCTTTGCACACCTTTGTTGAAAAGGAAGTTGCCATGGAAACCAGGAATAAGAGTAGCCAAAGCTGAGGGGGAATTTGGTATTAAATTATGGAGAAGTTTTACAGGGAGGGGCATCAGTGCAGTGGCTAAATCCTAAGTAAGGAAACAGATGCAGGATATCCTAATATTTAAAGTACCATGTAGTTCTGGAGAAGAGTTCTATAAAAGCATTCCAGCATGTGGTGCCCATTTTGTGTCTTTTTCTTCTTTCCTAGGCCCCTACACGCGTCCGTGGGTCTGGCTTAGGTGCACGTGGCAGTTCTTATGGGGCTGTGGCATCAGAGTCCTACCGTGAGGCGTTGCACAAGACAATGCTAACTCGTTTCAACGAGTCAGACTGAGAGTGAGCTCTGTGAGGAGCACCCACCTGTACAGTATTTTGCTGCTGACTGTCTCCCTCCACCCAACTTTCACACAATGTTCCTTTGTTTGACTTTTTTAAATTAAATGTTAAAATGGGCAAGAGGATTTTTACATGACTGAGGCCTGTGGAAGAGAAAGCATGCCACTGGCCATGTGACTGTCAAGACTTCTGTGAATTCTTTTGTTTGTGTACATATATATATATGATACAGAAGTACACTGATGTGCTGTAACATAGTAATCTATTACTAGAACTGCAAGTCCTGTGTATATGCCTGGTTAGAGACAGGCAGCCACTGTGAGGTTAAACTGGACTCCCCTTGTAGTCTGTCCTCTCAGAGTCCATCTGTGATGACAGTTTTTGTGAGGACTGGCTTAGCAAAGGCCTGTTGTTGTCTTTGTATCAACACAATGGGCAGCACTATCCTTTTTTTAAAGCGTTCGATGTAGCCTTTCAACCAGCTCTACATAATAAGGTTCTGAAAAGAAATGGAGAAAACAGCAGTCACTCTCTATTGTATGGTACTCATTCTTAGAGATGTTCATGTATGTTCAGCCCTCCTTCCCTTCCTACTTCAGGCTCATGTTTGTTCCCTTTTGCCCTAACATCTTTGGAGTCTGGCCTTGCCTACCTTCATCAGGTTGGATGTAACTGTGTCTGATAAGGAAATCTAGTGCCACCATTGCAGAGTTGGGCTTGAAATCCGAAGATGCAATGACCTCTTTCACCTGTACAAGAGGAGGAGGAACAATTGCAGCTCACATTTCTTTAAGAATAGGGAGTGGCAGTTAGTATGGTAGGTATTTGTCATTTATGGTGGTCCTAGCATGGAGTTAGTGAGAATGCATACTGATGCAAATAGGACCATACCTGTTGCTGGATAGTTATCTTTACATCAAACAAGTGATTTGAATTCTGGGCAATGTAGGCTTATGAAGGGAAAACACACACATCTAAAATTGAAGCTCAGCAGTCAACAAGCAAGCCTATGAAAAAAACAAAGCCTGCATGTAATTACCACTCTTCTTGTCGGTCAGAATTCATACAATAATTGCCTTTCCATAGTTTGTGGGTAAGAGCTTATTTATTCATTTTTCATTCCATCTGACTGGATTGCTCCTCTGGATACTACAGGATCTGTAGTCCATACCAACAATGACAATTTTAAAAAACAGTGTTGTGGTATAAGCTCTTGCAGACCAGTTTATGCCATAGTAAATTTGAAACCACAAGCCTCTTGGTTGCAAGAGACTTGAAACTACTGCTCTAAAAATTGCAACAAAAATAGGACTTTTTACAGATAGTCTCTCTAGCATCAATGAGGGAGAGAAAAAGCTTGCTTTTGGAAAACCTTAACACGGTGCAATCCTACGGTCTTTGCCATCAATGCACATGTCTTTGCATTCAGGATGCTTAGATGTATCCTGTGCCTGAAACAAGATAAGGTAGCAGCCTCTGCATGATGTTTTTTGAGACAGTCATATTGGCCATCTAATTTTACTGCTGAGGAGGTTGGGATGCTGATAGGGCTTAGCAGAAATCTGTGGCCCCAACCACCTCATCTCCTCCATTAAGGCACATTGTGACCTGGGAAATGAGCTGGTGTGGTTCTTTCTGAGAAGGGAACAGGGTATGGGTTCAGCCTTGGGGCTCCCACCTCTGAAATAGGATGCTTTGGTATGACAGTGTCTAGATCTTGCTCTGTAGGGAGGTCCTAGGATTCCTAATGTTCTGATAATACCACTAAGGCTTTATGCACTACTAGAATGCAAAATGAATTGTTTTTCTTGTAAAATTATCCCTACCAGCCTTGTTAAGTGGCCAAAGGTAGAACTCCTTTACCTCTCCGTCCCCCACCTGGGGCACAAACTCTTGAGGCAGCTCCAGGTCAAATATGAACAGGCATTCAGAATAAATTTCTCCATGTGTTCCTTCATAGGTGTAGCTAGTGTGGTAGGAGAAATCGTTCAGTACAAGCAAAGATTTCTACAGTGGTGAGGATGATAAAAACAGTGGAGATCATTCAGGTATTTTCTTGCATGGGGGTAACTTTCAGCTGAATTACAGAGAGGGGTGCCCTTTCCAAAGTAGCTGTTGCCATCCTCTAACAAGCTCAACTCTGCTCCCTGAATTCCTAGTGAAATTGAGAATGGTACTTTGAATGCAGGGAAATATAAACCTTTGACATGATCACATGCAAGGTATGTGCTACATCAGGGCAATCCAGTTTCTGTAATTTGTGCAGATTAGACATACACCTACACTTCATGATTTGGTTTTTCAATGAAGTTGGATTTGTTTATGGAAGATAAGGGAGGGGAACAGTGAAAGGACATGACTGCTGGGTTTAAGAAGGCTACAGAAACAGGAAGAACTGGCAAGAGACACTGAAAGTTGAACAGTCTTAAAACTTCACTTTAGAGGCCTTTACACATTTTTTTAAAAGTTGAGTTCTCAGAATTCAAACTTCAAATTTCTGTGCTTGTGCAATAAAGTTACAAGTGCACAGAATATAAATGGCTTTTTTTTTAACCACCTACTTGCTCCCTTCTTGGCATGAGCTTGCAATCTGACACCCCCACTATGGTCTGCTGGAGTTAAAGTAGCTTTTTATTACCTGATTGTTCCAACAGCCTTGGCTAGTGCAGTGAGGGAGACAGGGAGGCATGCTTCTTGGCTTTCTTTCACTAGCATTTCTCTGACACCCAACCCAGTTGCAATGCCACCAGCACTCTAACAAAAACAAGAGTGAACTTACTATACTGCTTTGGTAATTGTACCTCCATTTAGCTAGTCTTCATGCCCTTTCTGCTTATTGAAATGACCAATGAGCTCGAATGGCCCGTTATCATCTGCATCATAGGCAGAGTGGAATGGTTTCCAGTCTTTATCCCTTTAATGGATGGAGAACAGTATTAAACAGCACACTTGCAAATACTATTTCTCCCTTCACAGTGCTAAGAGGAAAAAGGGCTATTGCTAAAATTCAGTCTTCTACACAATTAACAAAGGCTGAACGCAACTGTCTCTCAAAGATTTTTAGTGTTCAGCCCTATACTTCAGCTGGTAAGCCATGTGGAAAGCCATGTAGCTCAATTTCTTTCTCGCTGTGCCCTGTATCAGTTCAATAAATGAGCTCTGTTGTAAGGTAGTCACCACCCTCAAACAAAACAGGCAGCTCCCTGTGAGTCCCATCTCTTACCAGGTTATTCAGTAAACCAGGATAAGTGGGTTTGTTCAGGGCCCTGCAGGCCAGCCACATGTGCATCTCGCCATTTTTCCAAGTGTAGCCATTCAAGTGAGTACCATAGCATTTCACACCCAATAATGCTGGATTCAAGAGAGAATAACTGAATAATTTCTAGATACAACAAATGAATAGTAATAACAAAGAGTGAGTTTATTCCTTACTTTCCCTTTTTCCTGACACAAGCAAAACCACATGCCTAGTTTTATACAAAAGAACCTCAAATCCTATATGGAAGATGATTTGCCTAAGCCTAACATCTCTACTCAGAAGTTAAAGAATATGGCCTCAGAGCACCATCCAGTGTGTTTTCCTATAAGCATTTGCATCAGGGTTTTCCATCAGGGCCACAGGCCTTCAGAGGTGAGGACTGCTCTGGTTCTCCTCCCAAAACAAGAGTGCTTCCTGACATCAGTTGCAAGCTCCAAAAGCAGGAACCTTTGCAGGGGCTCCAAAAGCCAGGCTTGTCCTGTCCTGCAATGCCCCGTTGCAGCTGCTAGTAGCCTAACTAAAATCACAACTGGGGAAAAAAGTGGGCACATCAGAGAAGAGAGGCAGCTGAGGCTGTAGGCTTAGGCCATTTTCCTATTGGCATCTCAGCTGTCTTCCATCTCCCATTGGCATCTAGACAGCTGAACCCAACTGTCTCACAAAAACAAAAATCAGCTGGAGCAGGTTGAGGGGGTGGTGGTTGCCACAGCTGCACTGGGCCCAAGATACATGTATGCCTCAGAATTCTGATAGGATTGCACCCTAAGTGCTCAATACCTGTTCATGAAGAGAGAATCCAGGGGTACCATCAGGGTCCTTCATGGGATGCTGGAGCCTCAATCGGTGCAGAATGAATGATAGCAGCTGCAAGGGTGGAGGAGAGGCACTCTGAATTTGGACTCCAGCTCCAATCTTAGGGTGCTTTTTTGAGGACAAAGATAGGCCAATATCTAGAGAGCCATGGGACTGTGCCCATAATGACACTTCAAACTTTATGGAATTTTGGAATATTCACACTGAGAGAGCCTGTGTGTTGTGGTAGTTAAGAGCACAGAACTGGGACTCGGGTGATCTGGGTTCTAGTGCCCACTTAGCCATGGAACTTGCCAGTCACAGAATCTCAGCCCAATCTTGTAAGGATAAGATTAGGAAGAGAATTATATAAGCTGCTTTGAGTTCTTAAAAAAAGGATATAAATCTAATAGTATTTTGGTAAGGCAGAGGAAGTAGAAAGGTAGGTATTGCACATGATCAGAGGAAGTCCTCTAAGGTGGTCACTTCAGTGTCTGAATAGACACTATGCAATTTCACTATGTCCTTGTCCATAATTGTAATGACTCAGAACTGGTAAACCTTCTGAAATACTTAATTATGAAAATCAAAGATCTTTAAGGTTTTAGACTTTGGATTCAAGGTGTGTTCACAGCTACTTGTTTCATCTCTGAGCCTAAGCAGTGGCAGTCTCTTTTGGAGTGACCAGTCAGTGCTTGACAGACAAATGCAGTGAGTATCCAGCACCATGCAAAGTTGGCTCAACTGACTGGGGTTTGGGGAAAGTAGGGATGTTGTTCTATCATCAACCATTATTTCATATCTTTACTGCCCAACAGCTGAATGCAAGTGAGAAGAAAGTTAACTCCAACTGTTCACACCCAAGTTCTTCCTTAACAAATTATTGCTGCAGCTCTAAGTTTAATTTATTGAAACAAAGTTGTATGAACCCTTGAATTCTCCCACTTAAAGAGTGAAATACCAGAATGAGGAAAGTAGATTCTGCACCACTTGTTGAAAAGAGTTGGAGGATGCTTATCAGTTTTCTATGAAAGAAATACCAGATGGAATTGGGGTCATACTCCCACAATAACTGCCTGGTGGGATAGCCCTCCTTGCTATTTACCTTACTAGGTACTTGGATCCCAAGCACAAGTGACTAGGAAGTGTAGCAAGACAGTGAACAGTTGGGCTGGAGCTAAAGAGCAGACACACCAGGCTCTAGCACCGTAAAATGTTTCTTGTGATGCAATCCATTGTTCCTATTTTTAAATGGGGAACTAAAGTTAAGGGAATGCCTTAGATCTCCCAGTGAACACTGGACAGAGCAGGGATCTGCATGCAGCATCGCACATGAATGTCCAATGTTGGGTCTTAATTTTTGAAAGACAATTTAGGCCCTAAATTAGGGGTGAGCCTCAGCTCAAATCAAACACAGAATAGGTCATCCTTGTATATCTAGCTCTTCTTCATACATTACTGCTTTGCCATAACATATTTGCTGAAGGAAACAACTTACAGAGTATGTAGATCCTATTTTAGATTTCTGTTATGTTCCTGTAGGACAGAAGCTGAGAAAATGCCTAATCTTTAGCAGGAGATAATCTATGTGATTGTATTGCCACTTCATTTTATATATTCCAGGGCTGAACCCTGATATTGAAAACAGGTTCAGCATCAAATGCAGCATTGTTGTTGCTATATTACCATCAAGGCACATTATTCTTTCTTTGTCTCTTGCAATTGTAGTCTGACAGATACTTCTGAAAGTTAGACCCAGCAGGCCTCAATTTTTTTGTGTGACTCATGTCACATCTATCCATCTGTCTCAACGAAGTCTGGAAGAGGTTTTGTTTTATTTTCTTTTGTTAAAGCTATCTATACTCACGTGTTGCAGCACGTTCCATGCTGAAGAGAGGTCTATCAAAAAATAGGGCATTGCATTGTAGAGCTGTAACAAAAATGTTACTGTTAATCAACAGCTCTGCTTTTCTACCCTAACCCATCTCCCTCCCTCCAGAGTTGGTTCTGAAAATAAGATCTCTGGATACTCTCTGCTTGCCTCTCCCTTCTTGAGAAAGAGATGCAGAAAATACTTATTTGTAGAGATGCATAGACCTAGAAACATAGAAACAGAGTGAGTCAGAAGGGGTCTCCCGGGCCATCTAGTCTGACCTCCGGCACTAGCCGGCTCCGCTTACGACATGCCCACCATGTGGATGCCCAGCCTATCCTTGAACACCCGCACCGATAGGGCCTCAACTACTCTTTCCATGGTTGCTATTGCCCAGTCATCTCACCACCTCCCTCCACTCTTTCAGGCAGGGAAATGCTTGCAGTGCCATCAGTTTTTTTTAATATCCCTGGCACTGCAGCAGTCCATTGCTCATAGGATGCTAGTTGCTTGTTAAGTTCAACGCCCACAGGTTTATCATCTCCCTCAGACACTGGGAAAACCTCTGGATATTTTATTTATTTATTTATTTATTATTTATTAAAACATTTATATGCCGCCACATTCACCGAAGCCTCGGGGCGGCTTACAACATAATAAAAATTACAATAATAACAATATCAAATATCAAATAACAATATAAAATAAATAACAATATAAAAGAAGTCACCCTGGCCAGATAAATAAGCAAATACTGTTAACAATTAAAATGACGCTTAAATAAAAAGGTCTTCGCCTGGCGCCGAAAAACAAATAACGATGGCGCCAGGCGGACCTCTCTGGGGAGCGCATTCCATAGATTGGGCGCCACTGCAGAGAAAGCCCTCCTCCGAGTACCCGCCCTCCTAATATCTTTCACAGAGGGTTCCCGGAGAAGTGCCTCTCCCGCAGATCTCAAGGGGCGAGCAGGCATATATGGATGTAAGCGCTCCTTCAGGTAACCAGGACCCAAGCCGTTTAGGGCTTTATAGGTCATCACCAACACCTTGAATTGGGCCCGGGCTTCAATGGGAAGCCAGTGAAGCTGACGGAGGACTGGAGTCATGTGAACATAACACCCAGTCCCCTCAGCAGCCTGGCAGCTCTATTTTGAACCAACTGAAGTATCCGGACCATCTTCAAGGGTAGCCCCAGGTAAAGCGCGTTACAAAAGTCCAGACGGGAAGTCACCAGCGCGTGTGTCACTGTCGCCAGGCAGTCGTACTCCAGGTAGGGGCGCAGCTGATGAATCAGCCGAAGCTGAAGGAAAGCGCTCCTCGCCACCACTGTCGCCTGAGCTTCCAGTGAAAGCTCCGGGTCGAGGAGCACTCCCAAGCTGCGAACCTTGTCCCTAAGAGGGAGTGCAACCCCATTCAGGACTAGGTTAAATCCACCCTCTCCGAAGCCCGATCCGCCAACCAACAGGACCTCCGTCTTGTCCGGATTGAGCTTCAGTTTATTGGCCCTCATCCAGCCCATTACCTCGGCCAGGCACCGGTTCAGCACAGCCACTGCCTCACCTGGATTGGTGGAAAATGAGAGGTAGAGCTGGGTATCATCAGCGTACTGATGACTCCGCAGCCCACACCTCCTGATGACCTTTCCCAGTGGTTTCATGTAGATGTTAAACAGCAAAGGGGACAAAATGGACCCCTGCGGTACTCCATGGCAGAGCTGCCATGGTGCAGAGCCATAGTCCCCCAGCACCACCTTCTGGAATCGGCCATTGAGATAGGAGCGGAACCACTGCAAAGCAGTGCCTCCGACCCCCAATCCCGCTAGCCTATCCAGAAGGATACCATGGTCGATGGTATCGAAAGCCGCTGAGAGGTCCAGGAGAACCAACAGGGACGCACTCCCCCTGTCCTTCTCCCTGCACAGGTCATCGTACAGGGCGACCAAGGCAGATTCATTACCATACCCGGGTCTGAAGCTGAACTGAAATGGGTCTAGATAATCAGTTTCATCCAAGAGTGCTTGGAGTTGTTGGAGAGATTCAGCTACTGCTGGTGACACATAGCCTACCTGCTGTCCATCAACCATAAATGGCAGACACAGGTGCTTGGAAGAGTCTGCAAAGAGATCAATCCAAATCAATTCTCTGCTGTAGTTTATTGCCTTTAAACAAGGCCAAACAAATCAAAACATTTTCTTTGTCGTGGCCTCTGTGCATCACACATATGGGTACTGCGCCTGTGCAGTGCCTGTGGCTGGAAGATTGATAGCTAACAGTTTGGCGAGAAAACTCCACTCCCCTTCCCCCTAGTAGTATATATAGAGCGGAGTGTCCACCATTTTCTAGTCTTTGTGACCGCTGTTCATTGTGCCTTGTGCCGCTTTTGCTCTCGCTCTGACCGTCTTCTCGTCCATATAACCTCTCCATTTGCTCTTTTCCAGGTTACAAATCCCATTTTTGATAGTTCTTGTTGTGACTCTTGTTGTTGTTCTCTTGTTTTGTCACCTTTTTCTCTCTTTCAAAAAAAACCAAACAAAAAATATATTCTTACCCTCTGCACTATCTCCCCTTTCCTTTCTTACGATGGCGCAACGAGCGGCTTTCTGCAAGTGCGCAGAATGCAGGTCTAAAATGTCCCCGGCAGACCTGCACGACCTATGCCTTCTCTGCCTGGGGGAAGGACATAGGACAGATAAATGTTCTCACTGTCTGGCCTTCTCGAAGCAGGCCAGGAAAAATCATGAGAACCGTCTCCAGAGGCTTCTGGGGGACCATGCACTCCTTCAGTCGGACCCACTAGTCTCCCGCCCAGCCCCGCCTGCTCCACTGGCCTCTTTGTCCAAGGCTCCACCGTCACGCCCTTCTGGGGAAATTCCATCTGCTCTGAGCGATCAGCCTGCTTCCCCACCTAGGAAGAAAAGTGAAGAAAGGAAGCACAGTGGCTCCGATAAAACATCTGAGCACAAGAAACCTAAGAAGGACAAGGCCGGAAAGCCTCCTAGGAAACCTAAGAACCAGGAGCGCTCTAAACACCAAGACTTGGGTTCGTCAGCTCCCTCGGTCCCGACGGCTATCGCGGTACTGACACCACCCGATCTGACTCTCCAGGAAGCTATGAGGGTTACCCCTCCTGGGTCCCCACGTTGGGTTGGAGACCCAACATCGGAGCCTACCCAACCTCCACTTAGGCAATCGATCTCTGACGGGGAGATCCGAGATTCCCCACCTAGGGCTAGGTCCCCCATGCCTATGTTTTCAGCAGGACTGGACCTGGAGACTGAGATGTCTCCCCCTAGGAGCAGGAGAAGTCGATCGTCAGAGAGGAGATCCGGCGAGTGGTACCATCCTCAGTCTTTCTGCCACAGATGGGGGGACTACCATTCTGTTGGCCGCTATGCAGCCCCTAGGGGTCACTCATCTCCACCTCCTCGAGACCGCCCGACATCTTCGGTCCCAAGGTGAGCCTCTGCGGTACTGACCAGAGAAAGCAACCGGTCCATTTCACCAGCGGAGTCTTCTTCTTCGGGCCCCACCATTTTATGGGGATGATTCCGATGTATCCGACGTCAACTCCACATCTCCAGATGTCGTGGTCACCTCCCAGGGCCCCCGATGAGTCCCACATCTCTTTCGGGGAGCTGATGTTGCGCCTGGTCCAATCATTGGAAATTAACTCCATACAATGGCCTGGACCAAGCACTGACAAATTTTATGATGTTGTCCGTGGGGAGCAGTCTACATCCATAGTCTTGCCACTCATCACCACCCTGCGGCAAGCTATGATCCAGCCTTGGGACCTGCCTGCCCATCCTCAACCAACTTCGAGGAGGTACGAAGCCATGTACTAGGTTCAGGAGGAGGACATCCCGTTCCTTCTCCGTCACCCAAAACCAAACTTGGTCATGGTGGAGTCCTCCCAGGGCAGGAAACCAAGGGGCCATACCACACCCAGAGACAAAGAAGGCAGGAAAATCGATTTCATAGCCCGCCGAGTCTATGCTGCTTCTGGACTCGGCGTGAGGATTTCGAATTATGAGGCGACACTGGCTCGATACCAGTACTTTATAATGCAGCGCCTCAATAATGTTATCGTGACACTCCTAGGCAACCAAGGCGACCTTGCGAAAGCTTTTATAAAGGAAGCCATGCAGATCGCAGTACAGCAATTGTCCACCACGCGCCATCACGTGGACACAGATTCTAGGGCCCTGGTCGGTGCCATTTCACTGGAAGCTCAGGTGACAGCGGTGGCGAGGAGCACTTTCATTCAGCTTCGGCTGATCCATCAGCTGTGCCCCTACCTGGAGTACGACTGCATGGTGACAGTGATACACACGTTGGTGACTTCCCGCCTTGACTTCTGTAATGCGCTCTACGTGGGGCTACCCTTGAAGACAGTCTGGATACTTCAATTGGTTCAAAATAGAGCTGCCAGGCTGCTGATGGGACTGGGTGTTATGTTCACATGACTCCAGTCCTCCGTCAGCTTCACTGGCTTCCCATTGAAGTCCGGGCCCAATTCAAAGTGTTGGTGATGACCTATAAAGCCCTAAATGGCTTGGGTCCTGGTTACCTGAAGGAGCGCTTACATCCATATATGCCTGCCCGCCCCTTGAGATCTGCGGGAGAGGCCCTTCTCCGGGAACCCTCCGTGAAAGAAATTAGGAGGGCGGGTACTCGGAGGAGGGCTTTCTCTGCGGTGGCACCCAATCTATGGAATGCGCTCCCCAGAGAGGTCTGCCTGGCGCCATCGTTATTTGTTTTTCGGCACCAGGCGAAGACCTTTTTATTCAAACGTCATTTTTATTGTTAATGGTATTTATTTATTTTATTCGTTGGCCAGGGCGACTTATTTTACACTGTTAACTTGTTTTATATTGTTAATTTATAGCGTTTTAATTGATTTATTTGTAAGCCTCCCCAAGGCTTCGGCGAATGGGGCGGCATAGAAATTTTCTAAATTAAATAAATAAATAAATAAATCTCCCTCCAGAGGCATGCATGGCTATGCAATTGCAATTTTCCGGAGGAGACAAAGAGGACCCGACCTTCAACGGGTCCGGTCTTTTTCATGCCAGAACCGACCATAAACTAAAGAAGATCTATGAATCCAGGATGACAGCTCAGCTGATGGAGCTTCAACCACAAACCCGGCGTAAGTGGTCTTGGACCCATCCATCGTACCGTCAGTCATACCAACCAAGGCAGCAGCCACCACATCAGCAACAGTAGCAACAGCGCCACTGACAACAGCCACTGCAACGATACCAACGAAGCCATCGTCGTTTCGACGGCAACAGGAGGCAACGTTGACAGGATGGGCAAACCCTTCCTCTCCTCCATAATCCACCCACCCCTTTCTCATTTGGGGACCGGCTGAAAGGCCGACTCCCCATTTGGGAGTCCATCACATCTGATCGGTGGGTGCTATCCATTATTCAGCATGGATATCGGACAGAATTCGACATCGTTCCTCCATCGAGTCCAATCTGGTTTACTCCATCCTCACCGGTACTAATCAACGAAGTTCAACAGCTCCTCCGTAAAGGAGCGATTCATCAATTGGCTTGAATGGAAGGACTCCACGGATTCTATTCGAGATATTTTACAGTCCCGAAGCGGGATGGTGGTCTTCGTCTGATACTTGACTTGTGGAATGTCAATAAATTCATCGCACCACAAAAGTTCAGGATGACCACCCTTCAAAATATCTTACCGTTGCTAAGGAGAGAGGACTGGTTTGCCTCATTGGACTTAAGGGACGCCTATTTCCACATTTCGATTCATCCCTGTAATGGGCGTTTCCTTCATTTTGCTGTTGCATCTGAGGTGTACGAATTCACGGTGTTACCATTCGGACTGGCTACTGCACCACCAGTTTTTACAAAGTGTATGGCTCCTGTCTGTGCCTTTCTGCGACTGCAAGGACTTCAGATTTATCCTTATCTTGACGATTGGTTGCTGGTCTCCCAAACCAGACAAGGACTTATTGCTGCCATACAGACATTTGCATTAATACCGAGAAATCTTCTCTTGTTCCTACACAGAGGATCACTTTCATCGGAGCTCGTCTAGATTCCACGACGGCGAGAGCATTCCTCCCGCAAGACAGACAACAAGCTCTTGCCCAACATATCCATCGAAAGCGACGAGACAGGACTGTTCCTGCCAGGTTCATTCATAGACTTTTGGGCCATATGGCTGCGTTGGTCACTGTTGTCCACATGCCAGGCTCCAACTTCGTCCTCTACAGCTTTTCCTCAACAAAGCATTCCAATCGCAAAGAGACTTGCCAACGAAACTACTTTGGATCCCATCTTCTGTTCTCCACTCTCTACTATGGTGGACAGTCCCAGCCAATCTAAACATGGGGGTACCTTTTCAACCCCGATGCCCTTTGATTACTCTCGGTACCGATGCATCCCTTTTGGAATGGGGAGCAGTATGTTCTGACCTACACACCCAAGGCGTATGGAATCAACAGGAATCCAGGAATCACATCAATTTCCTAGAACTTCTGGCAGTTTTCAAGGCTCTGTGCTTGTTCGAGGACGTTCTTCAGGACCAAGTAGTTCAAATAACCTTGGACAACCTTGCTACAGTCTTTTATCTGAACAAACAAGGAGGGACAAAGTCACTGTTGTGCCTGAAGCCCCGACAGAGACAGCACCTCACGAGGAGGTCTTGTGCTTAGGACCCTATATCCAAAAGCCAACCCCGCAACCTAGCTTGGGGGTGGCTGAGCAGATAGCTGCACCTCCCACTGACTCCCTGCCCATTGAGCAAACACCCGAGCCCACATCAAAGCAAGAAAGCCCCAAGAGAAAAGACACTACGAGTTCTACTCAGAAGGAGTCAGAGCCGGCTGTCCCTCCTCCTACTGATGTTGAACTTCCTGAACATGACACAGGAGACGCAGGGGGCATAATAGACTTTTCTCTAGCAACCAATCGTAGAATTCTGAGAAGATATGAGCAAAGTCAGATCTTGTTATGCCAGACGGAAGAAAGGTGTGACCAGGAGGGCTAGTCCCACGTGGGTTCGGGGAGAGACACCATTAGTGGATTAACATCTGCATTCCAAAGACTTCAACAGAAGAGCTTATTTGTAGAGTTGTAAATCTTGTAGACAAATAGCAATAAAGGACTTTAGTGTGGGTTGTTTACATGTTGAGCAGCATCTCGACAGTATGTTAATCCTCTAAACCCCCACACAGCCGAGCAAAGATTTTTTTTTCTCCTCTCTTCATCCACCAATTTTCTTTTTCCACCTTTGGGAAACCGCAGCAATGGAATCAAGAGATCAAGCTACTCAAGAACTTCAAACTTTAAGGGATGAGAACACCCTCCTAAGGACGAAATATGCAGGAGCTACACAACGAATGGATGCAATGCAACTTGAGCTGGATAACCTCCAAGCTAAACTAAAAACAGCTACTAACTCAAAGCAAAATCAAGAGCTGACTCTAAGAAGATGCCCTCTGGAGTCTCCCCTGAAATACGATGGGAAAAAAGAAGGATTTACAACTTTCAAAGCACAATGTGGACTCTACATTAGCCTACGCCTGAATGACTTCACCGACGAAAAGATGAAGGTAGGCTTTTTAATAAATCAACTCACGGGGGGCCCAGCCGGCTGGGCAACTGCAAGGCTTATCACTCGAGACCCTATATTAAACGATGCTAATCTGTTTATAGATGCCTTGGGGAAGTTCCTTGGTGTAGAATCTTGCAAAGAAATGGCCATCCGGGAGATAAAGCGTCTGAAACAGGGGCACACCTCAGCCACTGATTACACTACTAAATTCCAGCTCCTTACGAATGACCTAGGGTGGAATGAGGAAGCCTTAATGGTACAATACTGTGAAGGCTTGAGGGAGGAGGTTTTGGATGATTTGGCACGCACATCTATGCCAACAATTTTGCAGCAGCTGATGCTTTTAACCATTCAGATTGATGCACGGCTTAATGAGAGAGCCCGCGCTAAGCAGGAATGCCACGCTGGCCTGCAGCCAACTAAAGGAAGATGGTTCCCGCGCACAGAAGCCAGCCCCCAACAATTCCTGCCTGAGAGCTACGTTGCCATGGCGACACCTCAGCCGGAACCTGAGCCAATGCAGCTGGGAGCAGCCAGGCCTCGCATTCCAAGGGGAGATAGGGCATACCGCCGCCCGACCGGGCCGTGTTTTATCTGTGGACATAACGGCCTTTGAAAAAGCCCTTTGAAGTCATGCCCTTGGAAAAAGCAGGTGGGAAACTTCCAGTCCCAGCATCGTTAAGCACCGCGACACTGGGACCTGCCCATAAATCACAAGGGTGCCAATCCCTGGAAAAAACTCCTATGGCCCAACACCTGCTGGTAGATATCACTTTGCAAGCACACCCACAGCTTGCAATTCGAGCCACAGCACTAATTGACAGTGGTGCTACTGCTTCCTTCCGGGATGAGGAATTTGCTCGAATTGCCCACTTCAGCAACAACCATCATCGTGCCTTGGAAAATTCTGAAGAACCTAGGGTTTGCATTGACTACTGTCGCTTGAACGCAATCACCGTTCCTAACAGGCACACCATGCCACTCATCTCAGAGATTTTGGAATGCCTGGGCCAAGCACGCATTTTTACC